ATCGACTCAGCTCGACATACTGATCTTTTATATATATATACTTTATAGGGTCTCCGACCCTTCCTTCTGGGTGTTGCAAACTTCGTGACAAACTTAATATACCCTATTCAGGGTATAAAAATAATTTAATCGTTCAAAAAGGGAAACTGCTTAGAAGTGCTGGATGAGCTGGCAAGACATCAGTATACGAAAAATTTTATTCACCCTTATTTTGTTTATATTGAGTATTGGAATAAGTTAGCCCAGCAATGAACTAATTATGTCATTTCCGTACAATTTTAGCATTCTAACAGCGTTCAGGATTTTTTAAAGCACCTCCAAACCTCCAATCCATGAGCAGAGAAAAATCCATAAGCATACACCTTTTGGGTAGTGATTAACTCTTCTTTGAAATACTTGTTCTCTTCTTAGCCAAATATGTCTCAAAAGCTTGTACAATACAAAGGTTGAGTCTTATGACAATATTATTTTACATGACTTCAATCACGGTTGATGTTCTCCTGCGCCCAGCGGAACCATTTTTCAATATGCGTTTTTTGAAAGTAGTTGTCTGACTACACTACTGCTGATTTTGATACTAGGTCTCTAAAGTTTGTCCCGACTTGTAGTAATCCCTTCATAGACAAACTTTTTTCGTTGTTATTAGACTGAGCAGTTGTTTCTTCCCAGAAACGAGCACAATAGCTTTGTCCTCATTTTCTCTTCTTCCTTCTTATCAATTTATTACAAACTGTTATATAAATTTGTCAACGGACTTCCATTAACAAAAGACAAAAATTTAGTGTGCGCATTTTTAGTTATTTTTTATGCGGATGCTACCAAATTAAAATCAGTTAGATTTTTAAGTAAGAATAGTTACCAGCTTAAGCTTAAATATCGAGTTCTGTAATACACATTTATGGCAAATTTGAAATATTTAATTAGTAATTATCTCTTTTTGTTGATGGTGTAACCTTCTAAAAACAGTTCTCAAATCACTTGTAAAATTACAGTGTTTGCAGGCTTTGAATAACGGTTAGATGCGGAGAAAATAAGTAAAACACACCCACACAGAATATTCATCTTTATATAGACTACTATGAGTATAAAACCATAAAAATCATAAAAATCATATTTATATGTATATATAAATATTTTTTTTTTTTTTTTATGTATATTCACATATGCATATATGACGTTCATTCGGAAAATATGATTACTAATTTGCACAAATTTCTTCTTCTGTGTATTTGTTAATGAGTGGCAATTATAACTGAAAAATTAAATACTAGACAGAAATGCGTTGTTAAAATGGTGGTAATAAATATCATTAGCATGTGATAGTACATATCACAGATGACAATTATTCTAAAAAGAGATTTTATATACGAGTTTTTACATTGCATGTAGAAAGAGTATTAACGGAAATTCTATAGTCTTATTAGATTATATCATTTTCAATGGTTAAAGAACGCCTAAAAGCATGCAATCAAGTAATGAAGCATACGCCACCTCAATGTCAACAGTGTGCGCCTAAATGTATGCAATAGTTGTGCTCGAAAATCATACGATCGTTTAAGGAAAACACACACTACCAAAGAAATTAATGGTGTATGTGTAAATGAATGATTGACATAATTCAAACATTTTGTGATCATAAACATTACAAATTTTCATTGATAATAATATATCCTTACTGTGTATGACTAACATATCATTTCTGAAATTTTACCTAGTGTTGACAAATAAATATTTAATAATAGAACATTTAATTGTTATTAATTGCAAACTGAGAAATATTTTTACACACAATAAGAAAACTTGATTGATTTTGGTAAATCTAATACAATTTATTCAACTATTCTGAAGTACCTCCAATTTGTCAAATATATTACTTGGTATATATTTTTGAGCACAATGACTACGATTAACAAGGGATTGCACAACTATCAACTATTCTTCAAATCGGAAATGTTTCGCAACTTTATTTACTCCTGAACATGTATTCACAGTTTCATCTATAGAAGATCTGAGTGAATGCTATCATTAAACGCAACAGCACATTAACAACGGAGGAAAATGTTGGGAAAGTGAAGAAAATTGTTATGGAGAATCATCGAATCATTATTAGATAAGTTAGTGAAGATGTTGGTTGGCTCATGCCATGCAATTTTTGCGAAGATAGTTCCAAAATTGCTGAATTTTTACCAAAAAACCGCACGAAATTATTGAATGACGTCAATGGTGATTCGGATTTACTTAAAAGAGCCATAACTGGTGACACATAGTTTTTGTAGTTATGAATAGCTATAGGGGAGATGAAGCAGCTACTACCATTTTCAAAAAATTTCAATAATAGGTTGATTTTTTGTTATAAAATTTTGCTAACCCAACTCAAATATAAGTAATACTTTACATACATACATATACATTAGGTGGTTGCTTTTTTTTTTTTTTGTGTTTTTGAACTATTCATTTTTTCAAGCCCCTCATAAAATATTTTTGGAAAAACCCTAAAAAAATTCATTGAAAATTTGAGTCCTTAATATTAACATTAAGGACTCGACCAAGCCGTGTAAAAATTGTCCATTAAAAATACACGCAAATCGTGAGTTTTTATACTCTCGCAACAAAGTTGCTAAAGAGAGTATTATAGTTTTGTTCACATAACGGTTGTTTGTAAGTCCTAAAACTAAAAGGGTCATATATAGGGTTATGTATACCAAAGTGATCAGGGTGACGAGTAGAGTTGAAATCCGGATGTCTGTCTGTCCATCCGTCCGTGCAAGCTGTAACTTGAGTAAAAATTGAGATATCATGATGAAACTACACGTACACGTATTTCTTGGCTCCATAAGAAGGTTAAGTTCGAAGATGGGCCAAATCGGCCTACTGCCACGCCCACAAAATGGTGGAAACCGAAAACCTATAAAGTGTCATAACTAAGCCATAAATAAAGATATTAAAATGAAATTTGGCACAAAGGATCACATTAGGCAGGGGCATATTTTCACGTAATTTGTTTGGAAAGTGGGCGTGGCCCCGCCCCCTACTAACCTTTTTGTGCATATCTCGAAAACTACTATAGCTATGTCAACCAAACTGTATACAGTCGTTTCCTTTAGGCATTTCCATGTACAGTTCAAAAATGGAAGAAATCGGACAATAACCACGCCTGAAATCTCGATTATCACTTTATCATGCGAGAGTATAAAATGTTCGGTGACACCCTAACTTAGCCCTTCCTTACTTATTTTTTAATTTTTCCCCATAAATTTTGTCATAACATTGTCAATAACTATTATAATAAATTATAAAAAATTATGAACTTAGTTGGGGCGATAGCCTGGCGTTTTGTGATCATTTAAAATAAAAATAAACAAATGGGTTAAGTAGTTCGACCTGTTTATGTGTTTTATCTGCTACATGTTCGCCGTGTGTTTTGAGAAAAACGCGTTTAAAGTTTGAAGTGTGCACTCCGAACATCGAGAGGCATTATTATTTTTGGGCCTTTTTCGAAATCTTCAAATGGTAATGTGGTACATTAATTCTAAGAGTATAAAGGAACAGAAAATGCAAAAAATAAAAATTAAAAAAATGTTGAAAAATATTACCCTACTGACCCCTTAAGCACGGTGGAGGAGTGCCATGGTTTGGGCTACAAAAAACCACTACCCAAAAACTTGTTGCTCGATGGAAAACCGTATTAAAGACGTAATTAAACAAAAAGGAGGTCACCGACTTAAGAGTTAAGAATTAAGTTATTGTTCAAATAAAAACTACGTTTATAAAAATTCTGCATCTTTTTGATTTCAAAACTAGTTTTCTTTCTATAAAAGCCAAAAGTGAACTTTTCACAGCCGCACAAAATTAGCTGTGAACTACTGTACGTATTTGTTATCACAATATTTTGGAATCGGTTAGGTAACCATAACATGCAACACGCAACATGTTGCGAAACTAAAATAAAAACCTGAATTCTTTGCAAGTTCGAAAGGAAAGAAGGAGTTGCTATTAAAAAAAAATGTTTAACTATTAATTTAGTAGTAATACAAATTGTTGTAACGGCATAAATTTCTTAATGGTAAATATTTTACATATGAACAAGCAATATTTATAACATAAAGTAATGCATATGTATGTATATGCCACAATGCGCTTCACATACTTCAAGCTGCTTGTTACGTGAAAAGTCGTTTAGTAGTAAATGATTGTAGTTGTAATAATGGAAATATATTAACATTTTATTAGTTTTTTTGTCTCTTAGTTGCACTAAAATCATTATTTGTTTAATTTCTTACGATTAGTCAGATTAAACATCTTTCAAAGAATACTTTTGTTGCAATTTAAGCATAAACACAGTAGATAAATATATAAATATACATATATAACAAATATTACAAGAAACAAATATGCATTTACAGTTATATAAATAAGTATAAGTATGGCTTAGATATACTGTATTTGTTATACTAAAAATCCAACTTTAAATTTTTACATTTTTTTTCATACATACATACATATGTACTTGTATATATACATGTATGTCTAGTACTGCACTTTGTATGCTTAGTTGTTATAATTTATATAATTTCAGGAATAACAATATAGTCTGCACATCTTTTTATATGAARCTGCGAATACTTAAATTTTTATTATTATTATTATTATTTTTTTTTTTTTGTTAAATATTTCGCAATTTATTGTTTTCTTAAATTATTTTAGAATTTAATAACCTTTGCTATATTTTTGTTTTATAAAAATTTAAGTATTTGGTTTATTTGCACAATTGCCCACTGTAAATTATATATAATTTATCTATATATATACACACACACACGTATACGCGCACGAAAAGCAACATTTATTATTGCTGCAAATGCGTTGGATGTGTATGCGAGTGATGTTGCTGCCAAATGGCGCTCTCAGCAACATGTTGCGACAGTGCCGACAACGCCGAATGTTGCTGCAGATGTTGCGAATGCTGTTGTAGCTGTTGCTGTTGTAGTTGTGGAAAATGCGCATGTAAAGTATGACTACTGTCATTATTATTACTGCCATAGAAGAGATTTCGCGAATACTGTTGAGGATGTTGATAGAGATCTGCAAGAGAGAAGCACGAGTGTGAGTGTGTTTTGCTACACTTTGATGTTGCTGAAATTTATAACAAATATACTAAACCCATGAGCTGCAGGTCCTGTGTGTGTGCGGTGGGGAAGAGATAAAGAAATTATTTAAATGACAACATTATAAAGGTATTATATATGTATGTATGTAGGAACGCATACAAAAGTACTCAAGAACATTCATGCATACAAAGTGAAAATGTTAAAAAAAAATATTAACGAAACCATTAAAAACAAAAAAATGTAATAAATAATTACGAAACTCAGCAATAATTTGTACGAACTCTTTAATTTCAAGTGACTTTACTAATTAAAAATTTGTTTTTTATACATTTAGTCTATCCATATATGCATATCTAAAATATCTATCCATATACACACATCTAAAAGCCAACCTGTTACTCTTAATCAATGGTTCAACGATTCAGCTGCCACACTGTCTGCATGCAACCAAACTGATAATAAAACACACACGTACATATGTAAATAGTTAACTGAGATGCGGTTGATAAAATTCGAAATCAAAATGTGTAGCTTAGCACATAAAAATCTCAAAAGCGGCGCAATCAAGAACAAAAATCTGTTGATTGACTGCGAGCACCTTTTTCCAGGAAAATCGTTTTCAAAAGAGTTGGAATTCGAATTATATTACTTGATTTCAATTAAAGGCAGTTAACCGGCTTTAAAACAAAGTACTCTTTATATAAACAAATATATATGAATGTGTGTTCACAGTGGACTTAGCGCCCTTGAACCAAAATTTATGTGCACACACCAACATTTGTAGCAGTGTGTGTTAATTTACAGCACGATTTGAATATGCCACATCATTTACATATGCACATAGAACACACGCACGCACACGCATATACATTTATTTATTCATATACATATATACTCATCCCCATATATGCACTTGCACATATTTTTCGCTGCCGTAAAGTAAAGGCAAGTAGAGAAAAGCGTGGAGCGTTAAGCGTTGAGTCCAAATCAAGCATTGAAAATAAATAAATAAATGAGCGATTGAATAAATSAATGAATGAACGGCACCTGAGCGCAGTGCGCTCTGCAATCCGCGTTCAAATTGTACCTGTGGCTATGCTTGCTGTTCTTGTATTTATTTATTTGATTTTATTTTGCTGAGAAGGTGAAGTGCTGCAGCTTCAGGCATCCAAGATTTTCACTGAGATAAGAAGTTTCCGGTCAAACCTTAAATGCACTCATCTACTAAAATGCTTTTGGATGTGCCTGCGGCTTTGGGAGCTCTATGGTTATGTCATATACGCTGGAAGGGAGTACAGTGACGGCTATAAATGTTGGTCTTTGAAGAAGTCATTATTGGAATTCTTCGATTCGCTAAGCGCCATGGTAAAACTGGTCTAAAATCTGTGAAATAAAACTTCCAAGCATTCATACCACTTTAATATAGTATTCGCATATTCTCTGGTCTGGCATATTCTTTTGCTTCTGCATGTCAATTTTTTTACAAGAGAATAGCGCGAAAGTGAAAAAGTTTTCCTTACAAAGATTTGCGTGGATCGATCACTTCGTGTGACAGCTTTATACTATAGTAGACTGATTTCAATAAATTTTTTTCAAATGAAAAAACTTTCCGTACAATCATTCCTATCATTCAGTTCGTATAGCAGCTATATGTCATAGTAGTCTGTTATGGGCGGTTCTGATAAATGAGAAGCTTCTTGGTCGATATCTCAATAACTTAGAGACAAGTTCGCGTCTTTACAGCCCTCTTCTGGGTTGCTAATATTAAAAAATCTCCTTCAAATTGCTTTACCCTACGTCTTAATCACTGACAATATATAATATCGTAAGTTTTATAGACAATATAGACCATGCGTGCGTTTAATTTGAGGACTTATCGTTCAAAATTACCACTCCAGAACTCGAAAGACATAGAAGCCATGGAAATGAATCTGTTTAAACCTTAGGTTATTTTTTCTACTGTCATAGGCCGATTCTATAATGCTTGATATATCGGGTTATTACAAGCAAGTCAGCGTTGACGACGAGCCAGGACGGTCATCAACATCAACTGATGATCAACACGTCAATAAAATAAAGGAACTGGTACTTGAGAATCGATGATTAAAAGTCAGAAGTAATTGGAATAACGGAAAGATCGGTGAAAATCATAAAAAAAAGAGCCTTGAACTCAATAGCAGTAGTTTCAGTGTTGGTCAAAGAGTGCCTAACTTCGTTATCACTATAATCGAGTCTCTTTGTGATAAGACTGGTTTGAGTGCCAGGGCACAGCGGAATAGAAGGCAATTGTAAAGTTTATGAGCCAGAAAAATAAAGGCACTTTAGAACCGCTATCAGTAAAATGACAGAGAATCGGTGCTCCCGTATTGTCTTGGGTTCTATTAAGTACTAGATAGCTGAAATTTGCGGGAGTTTAGTCAGCGCTGGGTCACCTTTCTCTGGGTTCTTTTTCGCGATCGCAAGAGATATAGTGATCTCTTCACCCTCATTAAAGCTAGCCTATCCTTAGTTGTGCGGATTTTAATAGGCCATTGCCCTACTGACGTCTATGCTGTAAGGCTGGGAATCTTATCAGACGCCATCTGCATAAGCTGCTTTTCCGTAAAGAGGTGGAAACAACTCAACAACTCCTACTTAACTGTCCCGCTTTTGCTAGATCAATTCTTAAAAACTTGTCCCGAACTGGCGGGAATAAACACCTGTAAATTTGTATTGGCTACTGCTAATTTATAAGTTCGAACACTGGAGTTCTCTTCTCTATGGCTTCACAAAGGACTACTTATGGCAATCCACGTGCAATCTCTCTAGATCAGCCATCTAACCTAACCCAACTTAACATAACCTAGTATTTACTAAATACTAAAATTAACTTGCGTTGGTGTAATACTTATTCATGCCACGACTGTAAGTTATTTATAACAGTCGAGAAGTCTGGCTTGGCGAGCTGAAATAGTAACAAGCCTGCGCAGCCAAACCGGCGGCAACTCAACGGTCACTCAGTCAAGCGACTTCACATCTATCCACTTTACAGGCGCAACGACGTAAGGCCACTTCAACTATACGATCCTACACAAATCCAACTGTCTAGCTGTCTGTCTGTATGCCTGTATGCGAGTATACGAGTGTCCGTCCGTGTAATTAATGATGACCCACTCGCATTCCTGCTGCCTTTCAATGTTCATTTGTCGCACAGTTCAATATTTGTGCGCCAACATCTACAACCAGTTGGACGCGCTAGTGCGCATGTGTACATATATGTGTGCGTATGTGTTTGCATTTGCTTGAGCACTTTGTGGCGCATCGTCGTGGTCCCACTCATCACATGTCTTCCTGCCATTCTTTGTTTAGTTTTGGTGTCGTAAGTGCCAATAAACACGTGATTTACTTTGACAATTCCGAAGGGTTCACTGGCAGGCAATCAGGCAATACGCCCGACCGAATATACAAATATGTGCGTGTGTGTTTGCTATCGCGATGCATCGCCCATTAAAATGCTGCTCATTAATTTTAAAATTAGGCGCGTTTTCGAAATGAATGAAGGCCTCCAATTCCGAACTTCAAACAAAGACACCAAAAAAAAAAAAAACAAAAAAAACGGACCAACCTCTGCCTTAGCCCTTTAAAAGTCATTCCCATGCACCAGACTTGGCATGTTTGTGGCATGACCAGTCGTTGGTTTATTTGGCTGCCTGCGCTATTGAAAAGTTCACGCTAGTGTAAGGGAAGGCGGCGGATACTTACGGCTGCCGGTGGCCGCGGTGGTGGTGGTGGTGGTGGTGTTGTTCCAAAACGTGGAGCGCTTGACGGGTGGCGGGGGGTTTGCCGTACGCGCATAAATTAATTAAGTCGGTCGTTCGGTATGTGTCGACCTTTTGTCTGGTGTGGCAACACACCGAAAAGACAATAAAGAGACACCGTTGGCAACAACACATACATACAACAAAAGAAACATAACAACAAAGCAACGTCGAAGGCATTAAAGCCAAGCTATGGCGGCAGCAATTGCAAAGACAAAAGGTAGTGGCAACGCCGGTATGCTGCAGCTTTTGTAGGTGTACGTCAAACACACGTTCACATATGCGTATGTGGCAAGCAACGAGCGCTGCACTCACATGTGTGTGTATAAGTATGTGCCTTTGTCAAACTTAACCGAAAAGTAAGGAGTTTGTGAGTTCGGTGATAAATTCAAAAATTACCGCTGCCACTTTTGTGCCGCAATGCAAGCAGCGCCGTTCCGTGCATGCCACATGAACACATGTGTTGGTGGTGGCACTGCTAGTGAGTCATTTGCATATTGTGTGCGGCCTCATTTCTGGCATCCTGATTATGAAAGATGCTGCGCCGCTGATAAATGATTGCTTTGCGCATAATAAATTTTCAAAAGCTCAGCGACGCTGTACATAAAACATACTTATATAATCCATATATGGATGCAGTTACAGCTTGCCTTAGATCGAGAGGATTGTCTCTGCTACCCTTCACTATCCTTGCTACTTCCGCCAGCTGTGAAGAATTGTATGAGTGTTGGTGTGGGGAATTTGGATTTAGAGTTTATGCTTCTCGCATTGAAAAGTTTTATTGTTAATGTCTCTTATTTTAATATTAGTTAGTTGATTCCCATACTCAGGTAATGGTCTTATGCAGTTATATATTAGACCGAAAAAATTTGTTCGAATGCAGAGTTTTGTGCGATAATCAATTCGTGTCCTATTTTATCCGCTCGTTGATCAGATTTAAAAATAGGAAAGATCCGTTGATAGACTCTATATAGCAAAGAGAGTAGACATATCATAAGATAACGTGAAATCCGAAGAAGTTTCTGTGTCGTTTTATTCAGATCTACTGGAACACATCAAATATCTAGCAACAACCGAAGAATCTGCTTTGAGAATCTATCCAATTGTTTGGAAAGAGAAGATCCCCGCTTTCTGGGGTTTACCACGTGTAATCTATTGTACATTGAATGCTTGGAAAAGGTCATACCCAGATCGGTAACAGGTTTTCACCATTCCAAATTACTAAGCTGATTCAACGCTGAATCGTAGAAAATTCTACTCCATTTAGCTAAGGAAAAAGAAAAAGCACGCTGACATCATACCGGCTCACACCTTCCCGGTTTCTATGATCAAATTGATCCAAACTTTGGATAGGACCACTCAGTTCTTCCATGTTGGTCCCAAGTAAATTCTTCTTGTGTACAAACTTCACAAAGTCCCTCGTCGCAGGCCTACTTTGTAGACCTCTAGAAAACTTATTTTGTGAACAGGTGTATGGAAATCCTCTTACCGGAACCCATTGGAAAGGGGTTAACAGCTCGCCGCGCTGTTCATAATAAGAGCTTTAAGAACAACTCCAATGACCAGCTCTTGAGCTGAAATAAACCTGCCACCTATGGACCTCTTCGCTGAAAACTGCGCTGCTAAATCGGCGGGACGACAACTGGGTGCAGGATTTTGGTTAGCACCGAATACATGATCCCACTATTCAACTGGGGAAAAGGGTTTATAGTAAGCTTAAAAAATATGGTTGGTGTAAAGGTATGTTAGCTAGGGGTGTGCGAATATTTCGAATTATTCGACGCGAATCCAACCGAATTATTCGAGCTGAGATTCGACCCGAATATTCGCATTATGGTGCGTTGGTGCGGGGTTGTACTGTCCAGTGTTTTAAGTTACCGGACCACTGCAGCATAGTTCAAGGTGAGGTCTTTGCTATTGCGAAGCAGCGGAGTTGACCTAAAATGCACCTACAGGCAATTCCAGAGCTAACATATACGTAGCCAGCCAAGCTGCAATCAGAACAACAACCCTGTATCTCATATCGGCTAGAAGTGTCTTGGGAAGTAGAGAACTAGTGAAAAGTGTTGCCAGAAACAAATAACTTTACTTCTATTGGGTCTACCAGGTCACAAAGGCATCGAGAACAATGAAATAGCGGACGAGATTGCCAATAATAAGTTTACACGGCCATCACCGGAAAAGATGATCCACATTGGGAATCACATGCATTGTCTAAACGACGATATGTTCTATCCATAAGACAAAGGAAATCAAAACACGATGGAATGATTTACCATGCACTTGATAAAAGAGACTGGAGGAACATGATCGGAATACTAACTAGTCACTGCCTGCTGGCGACACACGCCCGCAGAATGGTGCTAAGAGCTCGAGAAGAATGCAATAATTGTCTAGAGCAAAGCACCAGGGAAACAGTGGAGCATCTATTGTGGACTTGGCCTATATTGGCCAGACTACTGTGTAAGCAGCGTGGGGACCTGTATGATACATTGGAAGAGGTATCGATAACAGTCTGTTGAAATTTGATGCAAGATATTCTAAAGGGTAACTACTTCTTATTAACCAAACAGCTGAACTCCATCTGGTAACGTAAAGAACCAAAAATGGTCTCTGCTTGGCTCATTGACCTATCAGAATAACCTAGCCTAACCGAACTTATCTTTAAATGAATGTTGGTAACATAATAATCTCAGTTCAACTAAACCTACTCGAAATTGTATCATCTCCAGATCCAAACGAAATATCACATCACTTCTTGAACCATACTCCCATATAAACGAGAATGTTTGCTCTTATTTCCCAACCCAGACAGTAAATCTATAATCGCTATAAATTCAAAGCGTGTGCATAATTCAGTTTACTCTCGCTCCCGGCCTGCTTTGCCAGCCAATGTGGTTAACTACTTAAGCAGGCATTAAAATTGCGTGAGCCGCAACGAATTAACCCCACGCTGTGCGCCACAGCAAGCCATCTTTCAAATAAAACTAGCTGGCACTTTGCAGCATACTTTGCTTTTCTTGGCTGGTGGTGCGAAATCGCCGTATGGACTGAGGTTAAGAAGGAAGGAAGGAAGTGCCTGGCCCGCGAGTAGATTAGTTGCCACACGCCGCACAACGGCTAAGAGATACACATCCAACGGCACCCTCATCAACGCGCATATAAATAACTGGCTGGATAAGTACGACGCAACGGCTGAGCTAAGTGCTACACAGGGGAATAATGCAACAGTCTCGCTGTGGCGATGTGGACGCTAGGTTTATGCCGAGGTTTTGACAGACGTTCGTAGCAGCGTCAATGATGCTACTTCGACTGTCGGCGTTCAGTTAAGCTTAATGGATTCTGATTGAGATTTAATTATTTCATTTAATTTTCTAGATGACTTCACTCGTGGGTGTTGCTGCCAAGTGAGTGAGACTTCAGCGCATAAGGGTGGGGGTTGGTCAGACATTAAGGGGTTAACAGTGTTAAAAAGCGGCTGTTAAATAATTGACTGACTGACTGACACTCCGACTGAAGTTTAGCAGAGCGATTGAGTGATGATGCTGGCGATTGAGCCAACAACCCCTAAGTGCACATCCAACCACTCTTCATCATCGTCATCAGCAGCGGGCGTTTTCAGCTGGCTCTGCTGCCTCCTCGCAATTAATGAAGTGGCTAATTTCTTTAGCAATTATCTGCGGCGAATCAGTTTAATTGATTTTGCGCACAAACTAATTGCCTGATGGCTTAGAAGGGTTAAGCAAATGGGTGAATAGCACCAAATCAAAAAAAAAAAAAAAAAAAAAAAAAAAAAAAAAAAAAAAAAAAAAAAAAAAAAAAAAAAAAAAAAAAAAAATCAAAATCAAAAATTACTTGCAGGCCATTAAGTTCACATAATTAAAACACTTTACGACTACAATGCAAAGCTACAGCTACAAAAACTATTAACTGTATTCAAATATGTGCGACTCACCTTTAACTCCTGTTACGAGCGTGGTAAGCATGCGTGAATTAATCGAAAACAAAGCAATTTTAAAATTTCAAATGCAAATCTACAAAAGTAAACAACCGAATTTACCTATCCCCCACACTCGGCGCACAATCACGCGCAATTCTGACCCTTACAGTAGAGGCTGTCAGCGGCACGGAGCTCCTCACTTCTTGCCGCATTGTAGGCCGTCATTTCCCGGCTAGCTGCCTGCATAGCGCCGCCGTGATTAAAAGCTCCAGCAAATGTGTGCAATTGGTTTGGCGGTGTTTGCGGTGGCGTCACTGCAGTCGATTGTCCGCCGTACCGCTGTGGTCCGTTGGAGAGGGTTGGTCCGGGTGAAGTGGGTTGCATGGAAATTGTTGCGACTACGGCGGTTTGATTCTTTGCGCCGGCAGACGCATAGGGTGAAGGCATATAGTTGGCGGTCCATTCGCGTTGCATGGCATTCATGTTGGTAAGTGCGCTTAGGTGTAGCGGCGAAGTCTCGTCGGCAGCCGTGTTGGCCAAGCTCCATATGCGTGGTCTGCTTTGTGGTGGGTTGTAGAGCAGCTCTTGTTTGGCATAACTGTAACTGTTTGTGATGTATGCGTCAGGATTTTCATAAGACTGATAGTTAACTGTTGACGTTGATTGCACTTCAATTGCTGGCGGCGTGGTGGCTCTATTTAATTGCACTAAATCTAAAGCTTCTGAAATGCAAATTGAGATGTGTAATATAACAATTTATTATATGAGAAGTACATAACGGTTTGGAATAACTCTTGATGAAGATTATTCTAAAGAATAAGTTAAATATACACAATTTGAAGTATACAATTAAGGAGATGTGAAGCTTGTTTTATAATTCAATAATTTATAGAAGCTCTGATTATTTCATGGTTGTGATCTGCTTGAACATTTTACTTACAAATTTTTGCAAGATAAATAAAACAAAAGATTTTCAAGAAGTCTACGTTAAAATATATTTAGAAGAAGCGTTGGCAACTGTTTCATCTTCTTAATAACACAGTACAATAACAAAAAAAAAATGTTACAACTAAGCGAAAAAACATCAAGATAAGGAAAAAATTAAAAAAAAAACTGACACATACGAACGCCAAAACCTTAGAGGGTTTACTATACTGACCTAGTACCATCACCCTGACTTGGAATTTCTCACCCCCCAGACAATCATCCCAAAAATGTTCCACAGTGTAATTGATGTGATAAACGATAGTAAAGAGTTTGCTATTGATGCTCTAAGATACTTTTTATAACAGAAAATTGAAAAGTCTAGGCATGTGACTATGTGATCGCCTTCATAGAAGCGTAGAAGACAAGCGGTGAGTTTTTTCACGGATGGATCAAAGCTGAAGGAAAGGTGAGAGGAGGTGTCTCCCGTCGATAGTACTTTGGGTTATCGATAGAAGAGCTAAGATAGAGGACACCATTACCACAGTTTCATCAGATTTGCAACGAGTCTGTACTCAGCTGTTTACGTTGGATTTTTGGACCTACTGTGAAAACGCTGTTCACCAATTAAAAGCTATGCGGCTGCGACATTTTTTTGGTTCAAACTGGAATGCTGGACGTCCTTTGAACTACTTTCATTTAGCAAGGTCCATTTCATTGATATGGCAGTGGTTCTGTCCAGTGGACTCATATGATGCCGGAGGTTACAAATCATGTCGTATTCAAATAGCCAAAGCTTTATGTAGGAAATCGAAATGGTATCATCTATACACTTTCTTGTCAACTGTCAATCGTGAAAAGCTTTGGTATACGCACTTTGGGCCAACCTAGCGAAGTGGCTGGGATTAATATCTATGAAAACATTTCTTCTTCTTCTTCTTTATGGGCACAGATACCGYTTAAGCGATTGTAGCCGAGTTTACATCGAGTGATAGCTCTTGTAAGATGGAATTGAGTCTATTTTGTCGACAGGGCTTTAGCATCTAGGTTTGCAAATAGTAGCTGACCGCTTACTGTTATGCCATCTCTCTGCTGATATATTTCACCACTGTTTATGATGATGATGATATAATGATAGCTGGTGATGACATTACGATGTGTTGCAGGCCGTCAACGCAAGGGTCATAGGTGTTATACTCATTCTCATGCGGAGTGCGAGAAATGATGAATTATATTTTGGACACCCACTGTCGCGCTCTCACGCATGCATAAGCACATTGCCACATGTATACATACACTGGTTTAATTTCTGTGCACTTGTGCAGCACACGTGCTTGGTGGCTGTCATATTAAAGTAATATTCATAAACGTGCAAACGTCAAAAAGGCACAAAAACAGTGACAGTAAGAAAATACAATAACAACTACGTCATTGTTTATATTTATTCTCAACAACTACCACTCAGGCGAAAGTGTGCTGCAACAACCGCGTTGAGGGTGAAAGTTGAAGGACAATATGTTGTGTGCATGTTGTTATTGTTTTCAAATACTTATATGAGTACAAATATTCGTAGATATGTAAATTTGTGTATGCGCTGCTTGTGCTTTTGTGTTTGTTTACTCCGGCTCACGTGACGCTCAACGCCGCCATGCAAATATTTTTGCAATTGAGGCCTGTTGATGATGTGCCGCGGCGTTTTCGGTTACACTTTTGAAAAGTGAATGAATAGATAAATATGTTTTTAAGTAAACGGATGGCGACAACGTCACATGTGATGTCTGTTTAACAACGCATAACAATCAGTCAAAGTCAGTGATAATGCTTGTGTGGGAAAAGGCGGAATCAGTGCATCCCTAAGTTTAAATAATATTGTGGATGATTATGACACTTAGTTTTAATAAGCCATCTTTTTCTATAATTCCATGAAGTCATTACTCCCTCTGTCGTAAAATCATGCGAAATATAACTTTTTGAAATTATGCACAATGAGATTCCATGAATGTAAGTAACGACTGATCCAAGTAGAGGTATATATCAAATGCAGCAGCTGTAGCTGAAAGAGTACACGAAGACCGTGGAGAGTCGATTCAGCGCCATTCTCAGCAACTCCGACTTAGCGCATTTTACATCGAGATATTAAATTGAAAGCGTACAAAATACAGCTTGTCAAAAGTTGAAGCGTTCGCTCTATGGACTCTTAAAAAGCTCCAAGAAGATCCGAAGCTTACGAGCCAAATTTTTTTTCAGCGATAATGCCCATTTCTGGCTCAATGGGTATGTAAATAAACAAAATTTCCGCATTTGTGACAAATAGCAACCTGAAGATATTCATGGCTTGCCATTTTATACAGAAAAAACTACGGTTGGTTTGGTTTGTGGGCCGGTGGAATCATGGCTCCATATTTATACAAAAATCATACTTGTGAGACCGTTATCGCGCCATGATTACCGACTATTTAATGGCTCAAATTGAAGTTCGTGATCACAGCGACATTGGTTTCATCAAGACGGTGCCACTTCCCACACATCATGCAATAGATTTATTGAGAGAACACTTCGGTGAGCAGATAGTGTCATATTTTGGATCGGGTCATATCACACCGTGAGACTTTTTTCTGAGGGCATATATAAGTCTAAGGTCTATGCAGGCAATTCCGCTTCATATCAGGCCTTGGAGCAAAACATCGCACGTGTCATTCGCCAGTTACCAGTGGAAATGTTCGAAAATGTATCTCATTGGATGGACTGTCTGAGACGTAGCCGCGACCAACATTTGAAAGAGATCCAAGAGATAATCAGAAAATAAGTAATAATAATTTTCTTTCGAATGATAATAAATATTCTCCTTTTATTTTGAAATTTTTGTGTCTCTAATTGACAAAAGTTCGGATATATTTGAAAGTTATCTTGGTACGTTCGTTCGGCAACTGATGCTTTGTTCTCGGCTATCAATACATAAAGTTTTCGAATTGCCTCATTTTTTTCATCATTTTCTATGATCAGTGGCACTCACATTGCACAGAGCTTCTTCGTTCCCAAATATTCATCACTTACGATGAAAGCTGTCTGTATCAAACTAATTTTCAGGTCTCTCAAAATCATTAATTTGTTTTTTCCTTTTTATACTCTCGCAACAAAGTTGCTAAAGAGAGTATTATAGTTTTGTTCACATACCGGTTGTTTGTAAGTCCTAAAACTAAAAGAGTCAGATATAGG